GTCCTGAAAGGCGCTTTTTAAATAAAATTTATTATTATTATTATTATTATTATTATTATATATTATGGCATGCTGTTCAGGAAATTAGTTCTGAGTATATATACAAAAAGTCTGAATAAATATACAGAAAGTCTAAATATATATACAAAAAGTCTGAATAAATATACAGAAAGTCTAAATATATATACAAAAAGTCTGAATAAATATACAAAAAGTCTGATATATACAACAAGTCTGAATATATATAAAAATCCTGAATATACTGTACATACAAAAAATTGGACCACAGTGCCTCAATCAGGGTGGAGCTCCAAAATAACAAAATATACACATGAATCAACAGAAGTCTTTTCAGTATTTACAGTGTGCAGTTGTTAATACTTGTAAAGTGCAGTAGTTAACACTTGTGGATGTGCAAATTTGGTATGTGCAAAAGTAATGTTGTGTGTGTAAAAGTAATGTATATACTCATACACACACACACACACATATATATATATATATATGTATATATATGTTATTAAGAGTAAATTAAATCAACCATTCATGGCATCATCTGTAATAACCCTGATGACAAAATATCAGAAAAACAAGAACTGAGGTATGAAAGAAATATATTTGGAAGCACTCTGTTCTTAGTGATTAAGTTTAGACTACATTTGCTAAAAGGTGCTCAAAAAACACATGATGTCCAAAATTGAATGTCTGGGAATGTTTTTCTAGCGATGACAATTATTTTCCGAATTACATTCCACGATTTAAATGTATTTTAATGAAGATAGTCAAAAAGTTTTCAAATGAATAATAATAATACCTGTATATGTATATAATATATATCAACATATATATATATAAAACCCTGGAGACCAGTGTGTGTTATAATTCATGTACACTGCTTTTCTTGCTGTCAAATGTGTGGTTTATAAAGACAGGTAGGCCAAACACACACACACTCATACACACACACCAACTCCTTGTGTCTTCGTAGACATGAAGTATGTGTGCGTACAATCATTATGTATACAAACATCTACATATCTTTCTTAATATGTTGTTTATATTCACGCACTCCAGTGTGTATTTCATTGTGACAGTGCTCGTGCTGTTATAGTTAGAGTCAGAGTAGAAGGATGGAGAGAAGAGGGAGAGATGGAAATCAGTGATTCGCTGAATGAAAGAAGATTCAGACTTTCTGTATATATATACAGAAAGTTTGAATATATATACAAAAAGTCTGTATATATATACAGACTTTTTGTATATATATTCAGACCTTCTGTATATATATTCAGAATTTCTGTATATATATTCAGACCTTCTGTATATATATTCAGAATTTCTGTATATATATTCAGACCTTTTGTATATATATTCAGACATTTTGTATATATATTCAGACTTTCTGTATATACTGTATATTCAGACTTTCTGTATATACTGTATATTCAGACTTTCTGTATATATATACAGACTTTTTGTATATATATTCAAACTTTCTGTATATATATACAGAAAGTTTGAATATATATACAAAAAGTCTGAATATATATACAAAAGGTCTGAATATATATACAGAAAGTTTGAATATATATACAAAATGTCTGAATATATATATAGAAAGTCTGAATATATATACAAAATGTCTGAATATATATACAAAAGGTCTGAATATATATACAAAAAGTCTGTATATATATACAGACTTTTTGTATATATATTCAGACCTTTTGTATATATATTCAGACTTTCTGTATATACTGTATATTCAAAGATTAATTTCCTAAACGACAAGCCATAGTATATATATATATATATACATATATATATACATATATACATATATATACATATATATACATATATACATATATATACATATATACATATATATACATATATACATATATATATATATATACTATATATACACTATACTATATACTAACTCTAAAGCAATTCATTACATACATCTATACTTCTACCTTGAACTTGCACACTGCACAGTGTGGTATCATCTTAAGAGAGTGCCCACAAGACCAGTGTATGCTAACATATGTTTCTTCCACTACTTCCAGATCAAAGTGTGGAGGACAGTGAGCCTGCTTCACTTCCTGTACTGTATACACAGTTATTGAGTTTAAAGCATGCCAACAATGCTGGTGGGTGCTGTTTCTCCGGTCTTTTTACTGTATTCAACCTAATTATTTGTGTAGTTCATTATTGTCATTAATTAGCACAGCCTTAATTGTGACAATCATTGATTACATTTCTGCCCTACGCACATTTAACTTGGCTCAGAGCAGTGTTTGATAGTAGTAGTTCTCTGATTGACAAACCTTTAAACCCAGGAACAACAATAACAATAAACAATAACATTCACTTAAACACTTTTTTAAGGGCAAACGGACATGGAGCAAAATAAAATGTTTGTACTTTAGAAGTATTTCCTACAATAGTAGTGTTTTCTCTTTTTCCAACTTCCTAACACGGTCAATGTTTTCAATAAACTAATTTACTGTATGCCTCAGTGTTGGATATTTTCAACAGTCAATGAATTACAGTGTTCACTGGATTGCAGTACAAATACAGCAAGCTTTATTCTTGTAATTGTGCCCATTCACCTTTTAATACTGCATGTACTATCACTTCTTCTTCCACGGTGTAATTTCAGCCCCAGAAGGAGGTTAATGATTAAATGCAGCTTTACAGTTATATTTTCACACTAAGTAGTTAAGAGTCTTGTTTGAAGCAGCACTTGATATAAAATTAAAAAAAAGATCAATTTACAACAGAAAAAAATAGACATTTTTAGTATGATGGGGGAACATGCAAAAGAAATACTAAAACCTGGCAGGACTTTGACGTGAGTCAGCTCAATCCTTCTTTGGTTCAGGAACAAAACAGTTGTATTTAAATCAGACTTGAGACCAATATACACTAAGAGACTAAACTTTCCCAAATGGCTGAACAGAAGAAGATTCTGATTTTTCTTTATCTTTCCTGATACACATATTCTAACTTTTCTTTAACAGTTCTGAGTCAAGCAGAGCAGAGTCTGGTTCGGCTTTTCCAGCTCAACCAGTTTTATCTCCGCTCCACACCGCCAGTCTCCAGCCCCCATTTAATACAGCACAAGTCTTTGATGTTAGCTCCCTCAGTTAATAATTAATAGCTCTTGGTAAGACGCTTTGAGCAGAAAAGATCTTCCTTCTAAAGAATCTTCACACAGGCAGGCCGACGCTGCAGTGCAGGGACTTGCCTCACAACAACAAAAATGCAGCCACAGGCAAACTGGCTCTCTTAAAAGACATGACATCTCCTTTTGCAGCCTTGTAAGAAACTGCAAACTCGGACACATAATAAGGGATACATATTTCTTATTTAATAAGAGTATTTACTGAGGTTTGCTAAAACTTCAGAAGGGAAGTAACAGTCCTAAGTTAAGCTGACATAAGAAAATTGAAAATTTGCTGAATTTCTGTGAGGAATGATTCAGATGACAGCTGCATACGCTTTCAATGATATGAGACAGAAAATGCTGGAGGCCGACATTAACTTCCATCCATCCTTCCATCCATCCATCCATCCATCCATCCATCCATCCATCCATCATCAACCGCTTATCCGGGGCCGGGTCGCGGGGGCAACAGTCTGAGCAGGGACACCCAGACTTCCCTCTCCCTCGACACTTCCTCCAGCTCTTCTGGCGCTCACAGGCCAGACATAGTCGCTCCAGCGTGTCCTAGGTCTTCCCCTAGGTCTCCTCCCAGAGGGACGGCACCCGAGCACCTCCCGAGGGAGGCGTCCGGGGGGCATGTGATGTAAATGCCCAAGCCACCTCAGCTGACTCCTCTCGATGTGGAGAAGCAGCGGCTCTACTTCAAGCTCCTCTCGTGTGACAGAGCTCCTCACCCTATCTCTAAGGGAGCGCTCTGCCACCTTGCGGAGAAAGCTCATTTCAGCCGCTTGTATCCGGGATCTCGTTCTTTCGGTCATGACCCAGAGCTTATGACCATAGGTGAGGGTAGGAACGTAGATCGACCGGTAAATTGAGAGCTTCTCCTTTCGGCTCAGCTCCTTCTTAACCACAACGGACCGATACAGCGACCGCATTACTGCGGCCACTGCACCGATCCGCCTGTTAATCTCACGCTCCATCCTACCCTCATTCGTGAACAAGACCCCAAGATACTTAAACTCCTCCACCTGAGGCAGGAGTT